TTTTGAAATGACCCTCTCTTGGCACCCAATCTTTCCTTAGCATATGGCAAAAGCATAAGTATGGGGGGAGAGACGAGGAATGCAACAAAGTGGTAAAAAGGTACAAAATAAAGAAAAGGAAAGACAATGAAAAAGAAAGAAAATCAAAAAGTCAAAAAGAATGAGCAATATAGAAAAAAATGAAGGGATTGAATAAAAGAAAAGTGATGAAAGGCGTGGAAAGCCTAAAAAGGAGAAAAAGGTTTGAAATGAACAAGAAAGAGTGACAGTGTGTCTCTCTAACCCCGAAGAAATAGTGAATGACTCAAAAGAAAGTATAGAGAATGTGTGCCAAAATAAAGTAAATGAAGTGCTTAAGGGAAGATGGAACCTACTTAAAACCAAATATTTCCTACCCTGAACCAAAAGGCTTCACTATGAGTCCACAAAAGCCCTATATGATCTTAAGTTGAATGAAGCTTACATTAATGGTGACTCACATAAAGGGCAAGCTTATGGTACTTAGAGCCGGACTTGTGACCTTTCTTTGAGAGAGATGAGTGTGTTTCCACTATCCTCGTTCAGAGTGCTACAATCTAAAAGTAAGGTTTGCTTAGGGAGAGTTGAGGATGTATGAGTTTGGGTTCCACAATGACCAAACTAGTAGAAAGAGTTTCTTTGATGAGTCGAGTCAATCCTTGATGCTCTTGTGTCGCACTAAAACCATGGTGCTTATAAGAGTGAATGTTGTTAATGATCCATTTGAGTTGAGGGCAATTGTTAGTCCCAATTGATGCTAGATGAGGTCACTTTAGGTCAGCTGAATTTTATTGGATTTACTCTAAAGGAGGTGGGTTTTATTTTGTTTACTTGAGGACAAGCAAAAGGTTATGTTTGGGGGAGTTGATAACTAGGGATTATGGTTCATTTTACACTCCTTCTTACTTGAGTTTTGATTAAAAATGTGTACAAAATAGTCCCAAAGGCTTACATGTTGTACTTGTTTGCAGGGTTTGGTCCAAAAGGTGACAATTAGTCAAAACAAGCTCAAAAAAGAGTGAAACATGCACAAGTACCAAGAACAAGTCCAAGCACAGTGCAACAGATCCACTGCGGCCGCATTCCATTTAGTGCGGTACGCAGTGAGGAGATTCAGAGAGGTGCTTATTCCGGAAACCCAAGCAATGCGGCCGCAAAGCAGTTTGTGCGGACCGCAATGGCCTCACTGCGGCCGCAATCGATATTGTGCGGTCCGCAAAGATGAAGTTCAGAGAGTTGGGACATGGGAGATTTATTGCCAATGCGGTCCGCGGTCGTTGTTGTGCGGACCGCGTTGAAGCCACCGCGACCGCGGTGCATTTTATGCGGTCCGCGGTGTCCAACACCAGAGACTGCAGAGCCAAGCCAAAAAGCCTCAGTGCGGTCCGCGATGCATTTTGTGCGGACCGTACTACCTCGTCAGGGGTATTTTTGTCCAGAAAATTTGGCCTAGTATATATACTTTCTTTTCACATTTTTACGTCATCTTTTGTAATCTGACTTGGGGCTGAGCACGTGAACGACCCTTTTATTCCTTTTTGAGTAATTTTGGGCTACTATTACGCTGAATCTTCATTATCTTAGTTTGTAATTAATTATTATCGTTATTTCTTCATCTAATTTTTTTTTCTTCCCTAATTATGAGTAGCTAAACCCATTAGCTAGGGTGTTGGCTCAACCCTAGTGTGGGTATTTGATGGGTCTTATGTTCTAATGCTTAGATATTTATGGGTGGTTGATATTTGGACTGATTTGAGTTTTGTATGTTGGATTAGTGGTTGCAAACACTAATTTGTGCCTAAGTGACTTGGGCTCTTCTTGAGAAAGAGAGCTTAAGTCTAGGAAATTAGTCCAACAAGAAATTGGGGCGTACTCAAGATATTGATAGCCCCAATTAAAGGGTTAAATCTAGAGATAGTAATACCCGATTTGAGCCTATGTTTCTTGCTTAATTTCGACACCCAATTGATCTTGAGAAAGTCAATTCGGGCAAAGTCACTCAAGCTACCGAGAGGTATAGAGTGAGTAGTGTCGTGCAACGGCTATATCGCGATCCCAAACATAACATCTTTGTTATAGACTTAGGAACCCGTCAAGTATTCACCTAGAGGGAAGTCACTTCCCTAGTGCCTTGTTACCTATTAGACAACCCTTTAGCAAGTAATCTTAGCTTAATTTAGCATCTTGTTAGCATAATATTAGAAGTAATCAAAACATCAACTATGATTGGAAGTGCAATTAAGAGCATTATACATTGCTAGTTTAGATAGGAAACCAACTCCAACTTCTAGATCCCTGTTGATTCGATCCCGACATATTCGGGTAAAAGCTGCATCGACCGCTCTCGCCGCTCTATAGTGGTGCAGGGTTGGCACCGATCACTCTCAAAGCAATTTATCTTTCCGGCTCAACATCAGCGACAATGGCCTTCCCGGTCTCTACCCTTCATCTTTTCTTTGGCGATGCCTCCTCGCCGTGAGATTACTCGTCGACAAGATGAAAGATAGGCCGAGAAGAGATCTCATCCAGCACGGCAACAGTTTGAGGGGCGGAGTCCCTCATTGGCGCAACTTGGGTCCGACCTCCTCGAGCGAACTCAACTAAAGCAAACTGCATTCCAACCGATGCGATAGCCTGGCGAAATGCAGGCACTTAAGCCTTCGTCTTTTTGGAAACTTGCCGACCTAGCACCAAAGAAAGGTCGCGTCAAAAGGCAATAGTGAACGGCAATAAGTTAAGGTGGAATCAACACTTACCGGACGAAGTCTTGGGTTCAAAGCGATTGTGAAAGGACACCCAGTCGCGAATTCCCACGGTGTGGGGTAACACGCGAGCCACCCAATCTTCAATATCGAAGACGGGAGAAGGTTCACGCCTCTCAGCTGGAAACAAGGAAGCCATGAGAGTCAAAAACGAAAGAAGAGGAAGAAAGAAATAACGAACATACGGCAAGATACTTACGATTATAGTCCCATTGCCCGGGAAACCCGATCGGGTTCGCCACCAGGTGCTCAGTTTTGATGAAGAAGTATTTATGCCAGAACCGCCAGTTCGCCTTATCATCTATCCCGACCACCAACCCTTTGATCCCACGATATCGCAGATGTATTAACGTGCCTCTATAAAAGCTGGGCGAGAATAGATGCAGCAGATGGCAAATATTGACCTCACAGCCAGCCAACTCTTCATACTTCGCCAGCATCAGACAAACTTAGTATAAATAAGGGGAGAGCTGCGCCGGGTAGACGTTGTAAAAGCGGCAAAACTCCTCCGCTAATGGGGGGACAGGAAGAGAATAACCAACTAAGAACGGGTAAACATAGAAAGCACAATATCCAGGTCGGTGAACTTGTACTATGTCATCTCCCATCGGAATAATCTCGACGTGAGAAGGAATACGGTATTTGGACCGGAGGTCGGCTATTTGACGCAGCCCCGTCTCAGAAAGCTCTTGAGCAGGAGCGGGAGAAGGTTCCTTTAGGAAGTCATTTCTGACCAACGGATTCTTGGGAACCACCTCTTCCACGGTGGGGAAACTTTCTTCCTCCTCAACCATGGATTCCTCACCACCGGGAGGAATGGCCACCGATAAAGGAGTGGCATCGGTGAATCCGTCGTGGATATGAGGGGAATTTGACATGTTTCCGTAGTAAAGTGTGTACAGCAAAGTCGGAGAAAAAAGATATTAGTCGGGAAAAAAATCAGGGACTGAAATTGAAGAAATTGCAAGAAATCGGAAGTGGAGATCCAAGAAGAAGATCAAAGAAAAACGATATGTATGCAACGAGGGGAATGCTGAAAGTTTCAAAAACGAAACCCCTCTCCTCTACTTATAGGGTTGGGTAACACCGGAATCGAGGCAAAGAGCCGTCAACAACACTAAAACCGAAGCGACAGAAGCACAGACATTGCATTGGGAAGACGCGTAATGATGACGCGCGTGGCATGGCGTCATCCTATGATAGCCACACCAACTGCAGCCCCACCGCCAGTTCGACCTCGGCCGATTCGATCCAATCGTCACGACCAAATTTCCTCTGAACGGCTGCAGATAGGATCTGCTCACCGAGGACGTCCAAGATCACGACCTCAATAATCGGAGGGACTAACTGTATTAGTCAAAATTTGGATTAGACTTAATAGCTGCAAATGGACGTGGTCGAGGATTAAGCCAACCACGACATAAGAGGGAGGAGTCGCCTTAAGAAAGATTAGGGCCGAGGTCGAGCAAAGGGTGTATGAAAATAACGGTAGGATAAGTTAGAATAGAAAGAAGGAATATTCCATTGAATATTCTTTCAGTTGTACCTTTTTAGGGTTTCTCAGGAATATCCCCTATAAATAGGAAGAGATAAAGAACAAAAATGGGACCTTCATTTTTCGATAAGAGCATATTGTAAAGGGTTGACTATAAAGAACATACAAAAGGTTGTCTTGTTTAGTGATTACATTGTTCAATATACATTGTTCATTCACAAGATCCAAAGATTCCTTATCCATCTCCCTTTTCTATTCCCCACATTGTTGTGAGGAAGGAGAATCATCCAAGTCACCTAACATTTGGATGATAAATTCCTTTTCATTACATTTATTGTCATTATCTACACTTATTGCATGCTGCTATTACTACATCCATTGACAATCATTGAGCATATATTTGATATTTAATATTCTTGAACAGAGTCTCATATCACTGATATACCCCAATTTTGGATCTAGAATTTATTACGTTTAACTAGTATTCACCCTTTATTTCTTCATTAATTAGTTTAACAAAAAACTTAACAGTTTTTGGTCAAACAAAGGCTTATGAAGAAAACAATTGTTTTTGTCCATGGAAATACGAGTGTATGTGCTTATTAAGCCTTTCAATACTGAATACCTTCAGTAATTTACACTTAATTAATTCTGGATTTAAATGACTTGGAAAAATAACGAGTCAGCTGCCTTTGTATACAATAGGTATTGAAGGGCATTTTTGGCACTTTACTTGCTCCTTTCCTGTTGTATTTTCTCCAGTTTCAACGACTGAATAGTCTGGGATCTCTAATTTATCACTCGTCCTCCCAGCTATTCGATCTCTGAGTTAACAAAAATTATCACCAACTAAGCCTAGAAAAACTAAGGTAAGCTTGAAGCCTCTGTCAACAGGATTCGGTTCGTATGTTAGTTCAACTATATTATCAACATTTTGACTGTATATTCTTTCATCATCTTAAATTGGTTTCGGATTATTTCTCACTTTCTTTCTTTTCCCTTAATTTGCATCTGATATTTTTTCAGAATCTCAAATTCATTTTTTGCTAAATATCAAATTAGGTTTTATCCATTTGATTGACTTACAATTTATTTTTATTTAAATTGGTCACATCCCTTTCAGTTAAGATGGCAAACCGAGCTCCAATCAAAACAAGTAACTCAGCCCTCATTGCCATGATTGCTGATGAGGTGATTTACAAATGAATCTTAATTAAAATGCAATATGATTTTATATTTATTTTTAGATTGCTGTGCTTTGACCCCGAGAAGTGTGGTGGAATGGCTGGGATTCCTCCCCTTAACCAGAGGTGGATCCAAGATTTGAACTTTGTGGGTTTGAGTTTACGCTAAACCCACTCACCATTTGAGTTGATGGGTTTGAAATTTAATAGTTGTGCATATTTAGCAGATTTCTTAACACATTGTGCGGTCTGAGCCAAAGCTACTGGTCCAGCTGAATCCATACCTTATATTGTACATCTGCTCCTGCTCAATGGGCTTTTCTGGTGCAAATCTGGATAATTCGAACAGTGGGGCTTTGGATACCGAAGCTTAAAGCAAAAGGCCAAAAAAGAAAAGAATAAAATTGAAGTGCTTTGATTTCTATATCTTGTCTGGTTAATGAGCTTTATCAGTTCTTTTTCTTGGATTATTGTAGGATGCTTTTTTATTTGTGTAGATTGTTGGTGCTTCTCCCTTTTGTTCTTGTCAAAGATGTTGTGACTTAATATCTGAGCTGTTGATGTATACCAAACATTAATTTGCTGATTTGGAATTTTGGATGCTTTAATCGACTTATGCCTTAGCATTTTTCTTGTTTTTGGCCTGAATGGATTCATAATAGTAAAATGATGGTGAATAACTTGAATATGTTCTCTTAAACATTGTTTCTGATTCTTATGTACTACAAAAGTGGAATTATCAAGTATACTGTTAGACCCCTTCTCCACAAGTCTATTCCTTTTATTTTTTGGCCATCGTGGAGGAGTTGGAATTTAAAATTCATATTCTCAACTATGTTGCGCGGACTCTCCAAAATGATGCCGCACCCGTGTGGGATCCTCCAAAAATACACTATTTTTGGAGGATCCGACACGCACGCGGCAACATTTTCGGAGAGTCCGAGCAACATAGATTCTCAGTAGTGTAGCTTGCTAACTTGTAAAGGCAAAGCTATGTGGTATGGGGTTCTATTTGTGATATTCTTAATTTGCGTATAAATACACTGCAGCAGAAATTACTGTCTGCTTGTCATGGTGAAGTCTTTTGATGATTAAATGCTTATTGTACATTTAAATATATTGGGATGAATAGACATTCATTCTGATGGAAATAACTTGTTAATGTAGGATACAATCACTGGATTTTTATTGGCCGGAGTTGGCAATGTCGATTTGAGGAGGAAAACTAACTACCTTATTGTCGATTCAAGTAGGTTTTCAACTTGTGGTTCTCTGATTTCCTAAGATTTTGATTTAATAACTGAAGAAACTATGAAATAAAGACAATAAAGATTGCTTGATTAGGATTGTTACGTCCTTGTCAGTGATGGAGCTTTTTCATTTTGTCTCAGTTTATTTATTTTTTAGAAAGAGTGTAATGTATATTTTTCTTCTCATGGTATAGAGACAACAGTGAAGCAGATTGAAGATGCTTTTAAAGAATTCACCACAAGAGAGGACATTGCAATAGTGTTAATCAGCCAATATGTAAGTTTTTATTCTATTTTGCCCCTTGTTTTATCACAGTGTCCGTAGCATCATTTCAGCTGCTAGCTATAACTTTCTCATGGAGAATGTTGAGCATTAATTATCATGTTAGTGCATATTGGAGGGCCACGTTAGGCTAGCTTTGAACTTGTGAAGTACCTCATCACAGGGGAAAACTTTAACTCTCCTAGACAAAAACGTAGCTTGATGAGAGAAACCTGATAAGTGGACTATGAATTGTAATCAGAGTGTGATGTAGGAAGTTAAGCTTCATTTTTACTCTTTATGTGGCAGTTCCCCCCGTGCCTAGTAAACTTGCATTTGCAAAGTCCCACCTCGAATGGCTTCTAGAAACCAAAATTGAGGAGTCATTACCATATAATGCCAACTTCATGACTACAAGTACCAATACCTTTGGCTGGTATGAGAGGTGGAAGGCTGGAGGAAAGTGAGGAAAGAGGAGGACCATTTGTCTAATATGAGATTGTCGACAATAATGAGATCATGAATTATGTGTTAGTTACTCCAAACAACTTCAAAGAAGTACAAACACTTTTCGTTGTAAAAGTGGCTAAGAATTTGGTTTATGCAGTCAAAACATTTCAGTATTTGTTTATTGCTATTGACTCCAGTAAAGTATTCAAAATGTACTACATATAATTGCTAAACGTGCATTCTGGTGACAGTAATCAATTCAATATTGTTTTTATAACCGTGGTGTCCGGGCCAGTTTTTATGCATATCGACTAGTTTTACGGGGTACCTGCTACCTCCCACTAGCATAGGTATTGGGTAACTCTTCCATCAAGGCTTGGATAGATGGGAAGAAATCACCTAGTATTTTTGCCTCGACGGGGATTTGAACTTGAGACGTCATGGTTTGATTCAACATTTTAACTTTAATTGTTGTTGTTTTCTCTAAATATTAGCAATTTGTATGTTGTGCCTCTGCGTCCCTTCAGGGAAACTAGCTGCACTCTTGCGCCTATTCTGAATCAAAGTTTCAGCTAATTATATCCACTGGCTTTACATATTCAGGTCGCAAACATGATCAGATTCTTGGTTGATAGCTACAATAAACCAATTCCAGCCATTCTGGAGATTCCTTCAAAAGACCATCCATATGATCCTGCTCATGACTCTGTTCTTTCACGTGTGAAGTACCTCTTCTCTACTGAATCAGTGGCATCTGGAAGACGATGAGAGAAAAATGGTTTACATATGCCCCAATCATTAGTTCACCATTTTATTATGCATCTTTGTCATCATTGTCCTAAGATTATTCCTTAATCTTGATGAGTCTTTACTCGCCGATTTTTTATTTACTGCGTCTTTTTACAACCCAAGTCGTGATGAACATAGTGAATAATTTATCTTTGCAATAAGTCGAGTGTTTGCAACTTTACTGAGTTTGCACTTATTATACATTAATCTTGGGATGGAGGGCCTCTCTACCTTCAAGGTAGGGTAAAGTTTGGGTTTTGGTGTTTGCTTAAATGCATCAAGTCTAACAGGTCACTTTTACAATGATCTTGAATCTGTTTTCAGTCAAGTCATTGCTTCCCCTTTGATCCCCTTTGTTGGAGCTATTGTTCTTTTGGTGACTCGAACCCATAACCCTGAGGTTGTAGGTGGGGGGCGCTGACCATCTGAGCAACATCTCATGTCCGTATCAGATTTGGTGGACATGTTGTGGTTGATGAAAATCAAAGCCAAGGTCTACTAGGGTGTCAAGTGGACAAGCTAACTTAAATTTGAATGTAGTATAATGAGTTGTCTATAAACGGGTCATCATGCAGTATTTACTAATTTCCTTGGGTCAAAATGAGTTGGAGAGCAAGTCATAACTCAACTCGTCCAACTTAAAACCATTGTTCTATGTTTTCTTTTTCTTTTTAAATCTCCAACTATATAGTTGAATTGTTAAAAGAAATGATATTTTGTTCCCTAAAGAATAGATATATCCTGACGCAAAAAACTACTATAATGTTTTTTTTTTTTCCTTCTAAATTTTGACAAAACTCTCTTAGGAAATGAGTCCTACTAATAATAAGGGAAAATTAAGGGAAAATAACGTTGTACAGCGGCTCTCAATATATATATATATATATATATATATATATATATATATATATATATATATATATCGGTTACCGGATGCAAATAGTTTCGGCCGCGGGTTAATAATAAGATAAAAAATAAAAAATAAGCAGATTCATAACTAGTATGAAAAAGTAGCCACAATTTCAAAATTAATCGAAATTTAGTCACTTTTTCATGTAAAGATAAAATTTGAAAAAAATTCCCTTAAAAATTCGAGAAAATTCCAGCATAATATACTGGAGTTTGATTTTCTTTTTTTTTACATAGGAGATTCCAGCATAATGTGTTGGAGTTCGAACATAATATGCCAGAAGTTTATGAGTAGGAGCTCCATATTCCAGTATATTATGCTGGAACTTTCCGTGTGCTGGAGATCCAACATAATATTTTGGAAGTTAACATGGAAGAGCTCCATAATCCATCATATTATGCTAGAATTTTTCATGTTTTAGCAAAATAATGACTATTTTTCAATGACTTTACAAATATTGGATATTTTTAATTACCAGTTCGGAAACTGGCTGTAACGACCCGGCCGATCTTTTCATGAGGTATAGCCCCGTTTCTCCCATTTCTGCTTCCTTCTGTGTTCCTCAGTTGCATTTCATCGTATCATGTTAGTTGGTTCGGGTTCGGAGTGGTTTTGGAGTGAATTGAGACACATAGTCTCTTTTGAGAAGACTTAAGTTGGAAAAGTCAACCGGATGTTGAGTTATGCGTGAACGATCTCGGATGTGAATTCTGATGGTTCGGTTAGCTCCGTTAGGTGATTTTGGACGTTGGAGCGCGTCCGAAATGTGATTTGGATGTCCGTGGTAGAATTATGCTTGAATTGGCGAAACTAGGAATTTGGCGATTCTCAGTCGGCAGTGGAAATTTTGATATCGGGATCGGAATGGAATTTCGGAAATTGAAGTAGGTCCGTATTGTCATTTGTGACGTGTGTGCAAAATTTCAGGTCATTCGGACGAGGTTTAATAGGTTTCGGCATCGTTTGCAAAATTCGGAAGTTTAGAAGATCTTAGGCTTGAATCCGAGGGTGATTTGGTGTTTCGATGTTGTTTTGGGTGTTCTGAAGGTTCGACTAAGTTTGAATGTTGATATATGACCTATCGGTATGTTTGGTAGAGGTCCCGAGGGCCTCAGGTTGATTTCGGGTGGTTGACGGATCAAGGATGGGATTTGAGGAAATGGTGAAGATTTGCTTCAGCTGTCATAACCGCACCTGCGGAGTGGGGACCGCAGGTGCGATGGCCGCAGATGCGGAGAGGGACCGCAGATGCAGGATTTGGGAAGCTGAGGCAAGACCGCAAGTGCGGAAGGAGGAGCACACCTGCGAGACCGCAGGTGCGGGTAACAGACCGCAGAAGCAGTTTTGGGCAATTAAGTGACTTCTGCAGATGCAGGCTTTATGGCGCAGAAGCGATGTCGCAGATGTGAGAATAGGGCCGCAGGTTCGGAAATGCCTGGGCTGAAAGTATATAAGGAACCCTTCGCGAATTTTGGCCATTCTTCACCATTTTTCATTTTTGGAGGGTTTTGAAGAGGGAATCATTGGGATACTCATTGAGGTAAGTTATTTGAGCTTAATACTTGTGATTATGGTAATTTTTAGTTGTTTAAGCATGAAATTGGTAGAAATTAGGGATGAAATTGAGGGTGAAAATTGGAGAGTTTAATTTGAGGATTTGAGGGACCATTTGATGTCGGATTTTGATGATTTTAGTATGGATAGACTCGTGAGTGAAAGGAGATTCTAGTTTTGTGATTTTTTTGTCGGATTTCGAGACGTGGGCTCGGGGGCTGGGTTTGGGTGAATTTCGGTATTTTGGTCTAAATTGATAGTTTTTCGTACGGAATTGGTTCCTTGGCCTATATTGATTACATTTTGTTGCTTTTGGCTAGTTCGGGACGTTTGGAGGCCGATTCCAGAGACAAGGGCATCGCAAAGTAGGGATTTAACCGGTTTGAGGTAAGTAATGATTGTAAATCTTGTCCTGAGGGTACGAAACCCCGAATTTCACATTGTTTCCCTATTTTGAGGTGACGCACATGCTAGGTGACGAGCGTGTGGGCGTGCACCGTTGGGGATTGTGACTTGGTCCATCCCGTAGCAACTATTAAGTTGCATATTTGAATGGAAACTATATGATACTTATGTGATTTAGAAAGAATTTTTATAAATTGGCCTGAATGCCATATTTGGGGCCTTGTGCCAAAGCTGTTTGGACCCTTAGGGGCCTTTTCTTATTATTCTCTCATTGTTTTGATTTAAGATCCATACTCAGTCTTGCTGTGTTTACTGATTTCATAACTCAGTCTTTATTAACCCGTTTTGATGCATAAAATGATATTTTGGGATGAGCACCCTGTTTTTACTGATAGCCCGAGAGGCTTGAGAGGTTTATGACTGAGTGAGGCCGAGGGCCTGTAATTGTAAGGATATTGAGAGTATAGCACGTGAGTTGTCCGTTCAGCACGTGAGTTGTCCATGCGGATTATAGCGCTTGGGCTGTATGAGCCTTTCCGGAGTCTGCACACCCCCAGTGAGCGCGTGTACCCTGAGTGAGTGATATGAGATATGCCCGAGTGGCTGATTCAGAGTGATGTTGTGCCCGAGGGGCTATTTATGATGTTCATAACTTTTAATCTCATTTGTATTGAGTCTCTGTTAAAATCCTAGAAATATATCTCCAAACGATTTTTACCGAAAACTGGATCTTAACGAGATGATTTAACTCATATACTGATTTGAAAGCATGTTGTACTTACTGAGATTTCATGATGTGGATTTTATATGTTTTCTACTGCTCAATCTTTATTTACCTTTATTACTTACTGAGTTAGCGTGCTTACATTACTCCCTGCACCTTGTGTGCAGATCCAGGGGTTGCTGGACGTGCTAGCGAGCGTTGATTTTCATTCGTCGCGGATTTGTGGAGTTAGCAAGGTAGCTGCATGGCGATCGCAGCCTTGCTCTTGTCCCTCCTATCTTCCTTTAGATATTATTAGTTGTTTTCCAGACTGTATTAGTCTTAGTTTTTATTAGACAGTTCTTGGTAGATGCTCATGACTTTTGACACCCCGATGTCGGGCTTTCCATTCCGCACCTTGTTATTCAGAATTATCTTATGAAGTTTTATTAATTAAATAGCTTAAAGAAATCTTTATTTTGAAATATTTGGTTGTGTTGATAAATGAATCGGCTTGCCTGTTCCACGTTAGGCGCCATCACGACATGGTAGATTTGGGCCGTTACAAGTTGGTATCAGAGCTAGGTTACATAGGTCTCACGAGTCATGAGCGGGTTTAGTAGAGTCTTGCGGATTGGTGCGGAAACGTCTATACTTATCTTCCAGAGGCTGCAGAACCTTTAGGAAAACTTCACATTCTTGAATTCTTGCCGTGCGAATCTGTTGATTCTGGTAACTAAACTTCTGTTATTCTATTCTCTCACAGATGGTTAGAACACATGCTACCGGTTAGGACGGACAGCCACCAGTACCACCAGTTAGGGCCGTGAGAGGCTGAGGTGGCGGTCGAGGCTATAGTAGGGGCAGGGGTGTAGCCCGCACAGCAGCTAGGGTAGCACCTGCAGATCTGCCAGCCGCCCCAGTACATGATCAGGTCTCAGTTGTGGACGCTCCAGCAGGACCAGCTCAGGCACCAGCTGTGCCCATTGTTATTCCAGGTCTTCAGGAGACCTTAGCTCAAATCTTGACCGTGTGCACCAATCTTTCTCGGGAGGTCGATGTTTCTCCTACAACAGCTACTTCCCAGGCCGGGGGAGAGACTCGGACTCCCGTCACTCGTACACCCGAGCAGGTTGTTCAGGGACTCCAGACACCGGAGGCACCACTAGCTCAGCCGGTTGCACCTGCACAGGAGTATGTGGTACCAGTCATGCCTGATGACAAGCAGCGTCGATTGGAGAGGTTTAGTAGACTTCAGCCTCCTACTTACAATGGTATAGAGGGCGAGGATGCCCAGGGTTTCTTGGACAAGTGTTAGAGGATTCTACGTACAGCAGGTATTCTGGAGACCAGTGGGGTCTCATTCACCACTTTTCAGTTCTCTGGAGCTGCCTTTACTTGGTGGGAGGCTTATAATAGGCGTATGCCTGTTGGTGCATCGCCCCTCACCTGGCAGCAGTTCTCCGTTCTCTTTCTGGAGAAGTATGTGCCGCACTCTCACAAAGAGGAGCTGCGTAGACAGTTCGAGCAGTTGCGTCAGGATGATATGACTGTGACACAATATGAGATAAGGTTTTTTTTAAGTTAGCCTGTCATGCGATCTGGTTGGTTCCCACATACAGGGAGA